GGTGCTGCATGCTGTAGGTCTGTCCTTACTTGGGCATGGCGACAAGTCAGCTGTGTGTGCAGAGCTGAACTGTGGTCACCCTGAAAGGAGTGATTAGGCAAGAATGTGGCTGCTTTGATTTTTCGAGTTGCGTGCTCTTGATTAAACAGGCTGCTTGCTGAGTCCTGATCAGTTCAGCCCGGTGGTTTCTGACACAGTTCAGTTTGTGATCACTTGTCCAGCAGAATGAAACCTCCAGTTGGCTTTTCTTTTACAACCCCCTTTGGAAGGCCCTCCAGGGACCAACAGGAGTCTAAGCTTGGAGAAAAGCCAGTGCCTTCGCCTGGGGAAGAAGCAGATGTGGTTTTGGGGGTTGGGGCTGTCAGCCAAATGTAGTGCAAATGGTTCTGGGATTTTACAGTGGGTGAGGGCATCCCTTATGTATCCTTTGGGTTGTGGCCTCACCCAATGGTGCTGTGCAAATCCAGGTGGCCTGAAGTGGGGAAGCTTGTGGTTTGGTGTGTTTCTGTATCTGAAATGATTGCTCTAAACCAATTCAGTCATGTTAGTCAGGAGTATAGCTTTGATACGTGAGTATATGGCCCTTCTGGAACTTGTAGTATTTAGCATGAGTATTTGTTACCTTGAGCTCCTGCACATTCCACAGTCCATTTTCTCTCTTGCTGTAAGTTTCTAGGGGAGAACTGCGCGTCCAAATAAGGCTGAGAGAGAGCAGGGTTCTGAAAGCTGCAGGGGTGTGTAGAACATAGCTTCCTCCATAGGGTCTGCCTGCTGAAGCAGGATGCAGCTCAAGCCTTCTGCACAAATCCAGCTGCCCTGAGACCCTCTCAGCCTGCTCTGGATGTTGGCCTTATTCGTCCCCTCAGTGTCCGGATACGTGAAGCCAGTGTCACAGGCTCTGCTGAGTCTGCAGAGAGCGGGCAACTCTCTTGTGTGTCTGGTAAAGCTCAGAACAGTAGTTTTCAGGGTAGCCTCAAATTGGCCTGTTGCTTTGTTGGCCAATTTTTCAGCCTGTTGAATTTGTTCCTTTATTTAGGCTGCAATGCCTACAGTATTGTCTCAAACCTATACATTAAGCATGGTGGGATATTTACTGGTATCAATGCTTGTGTTCCCTCTGGAGTGGCTCATTGGCAGCCATGATCAACATGAGGGATCTTGGTCTCTAACACTGGGCCGGAACTTTCTAAACCAGTAGCTCACAGGCTGTGATCTGCAGATCTTCAGGGGTCTGTGAACATCTTCCAAGGATTAAATAGGCTGTGAGAGGAAGGCATCCATTTGGAAACAGCTGGGGAGAGTGGAGCAACTGAGACTCTCCAAGCTGGGCAGTGGAAGACCAATTCCATGAGGCACTGCAGGGCTTTGTGTTAAAAGTGTTGGTGATGAGCTTGCATGAGATCCAACAGCTCCAGCCCTAAATGAGCTGCTATTTGGATCATTTAGTTTGCTGGGTTGGAATATTCTCTTTGAATAAGCAGTAATGTATTCTCTGCCATCCTGGATGTATGCCATGAAAGTTCTAAACCTTTCTTGCTAGCATCTGTGTGTAATATAAGGGGTCATTTATAATCTCTGTAAGCTGTGATATGGGGCCTTTCGTCACTTGGTCTGATTCCTGCTTGTGTTCTGGAGACTGCTCTTGCAGACTTCTGGCTTGCATAGGGAAATCTGGGGGTGGGTCGCTGTCTGTCTTTTCCTTTGTAATTACTGTGCTATTATATGTCTACAGTGAGACCTGAGCTAATCCTAAATACATGTTATGATTAGCAGTGCTCCTATCATTATTCTCCCTTGCTCCTATGCTGTTGTAGAAGCCTGGAAGCTACATTTGTAGGTAAGTGATGCTGTTTATGGGAGGCAGAAAGTAAAGAAATGAGAGAAGTTTATTCATGTTGTACTCTAAACTTCGGGGTTTGACCATTTGTTTCCCCTCATGATCCCCACTGCTGTCCTAGGCTCTGTTACAAGACTGGGACAGGGTCTGTTCTGTGAGGCTCAATCTGAAGAAGGGCTTTTCCAAGGCAGCAGTGATTTGTTTGATCTGTGAAGGGATGTGTGTGCCTGAGCAGTTCCTTCTGAGGACCAGGTAGAACAAAGGTTTAGGAGCTCAGACTGTAGCAGTGCTGGGCTGTTTTGAATAGGAAATCTGCATGCATGCCGGCAGCAAGTGCTACACGAAAGACCTGGCAGAGACAGCTTTGTTTTTCCTCCCAGTGAAACTCTGTGATGGGCGAAGGCCAGAGGGGCACATGCACACAGGCTGCACAACAGTTAAAACAAAGTGTGTGTAAATAAACATTTGATTTATTTGGATTTCGCTGGCAAGCCAGACTATGCTCTTAATGTGAGGAGAGGCCCACGAGTCCTCAGTGACTGCGCTCTGTTTTAAAATGTGGTAGCTGCATTCTGAGTTTGTTGCATCTGTGCTCCTTCTTGCTCTGATGTGTGAAATGCTGCTCCATTCTTCCCCTCCAACTGGACCAGTTCCTTTCCTCCTTGCATGTTCATGAGAAGTTTTTTCTCGTCACTTTAGGACATGTGCTCCTGCCATTATCCTGTCAGATTCTGTGTATGTGTGATTTGTTTGGCCTGTTTTTATTCTGAGGCTTGTGCAGAATGCCTGTGCTGTCCCTCTGAGAGCTGTAAGCTCTGTGCTAAAAATGTGCTTGAGTTAAATAGTATGAAGCACTGCTTTCCCAGACCTTCTGGCTGCTGCTTCTCCTTCCATAGAGTTGTCCCCATGGCATGGAGAGACCTTAACCAGCTGTACTTACTGGAGACGCACCCTGTGGTTAAGCCTCAGAGAGATTAAATGAGAGCCAGTTGCACCATGGCTTGAAATAAAACCCCAAAACAACAAGGAGAACAAAAATTAATTTGAGTTAGCCCATCTCCAGTCTCTTCTTCCTCCTGTTTTTGTCTCCTAACCTTTGCGTAGAAATTGCGCTGCACCTCAAGGATGTGGTGTCGTTTTGTGACCTGAGGCTTCATTAATCTTATTTTTGGTCTCAGTGGAACGAAGTTTTGCCCTTTGCTTCCATGAAGTAGATGTTACTAGAGGCATTTGAATACAGTGGGATTTGATCCAGAGGTCCAGGGTTTGTATCCTTAGTGCAGTAGGGGGCAATGTGGTGGCCTAAGCACTTCTCACTCTTTAAATACTTGATCTAATCTCTGGGGCAGGAAGGAAAAGACATTTCTCTGGTTTATCTCAATGAATCTTAGAGAAGGGGCTTACCAAGACTTTGCTGCAAGTCTGCAGAGAGTGTTACATTGGAATTGGGAGTGGGTTTGCAGCACATGGGGCAGTTTCAGCGGGGAAAGCTACGTGTCTGAGGCTTGTACTGCTGCTGGGTGTGATGGCATCGAGCAGAAGCCGCCATCCCCTGGTGCTTATGCAATCAGGCTGGGGCCTGGGGAGCAGCCTGCTGGCCCTGCCTTGGTTGTCATCTGCAGCGCTTGGCTGCTGGCATGCCTGCTTCCTATTCATGGAGATGGGAGCCTGGCAGCCTCCCACAGAGATGGGAAGGGGATCCAAAATGGAGGGGGGGGATGGTTGCCATACTGTGGGTGAGGAGCTGGGCTCTTCTCAGTGCGGACAATGCTTGTACAAGTGCCTTGTCTGCTGTGGACCCAGGCAGGTGCCTCCACCTCCTGTTGCTGACCCCAGTTCTGATCCCCAATCAGTAAGAGAGTGGCTCTCAAATCTGCTGCAGTTACAGAAGCAAAAACGTGAATCAGAAGTTGTCAAGTATGAATGATGTGTGCAAGGGGGAAATACAAGCATCCTATTTTTCCTTGCCCCATCAAGCACCGCATTTGAACCAAAAAATGCCTTTCTATGAGAAGGTAAACAATATCTGTGGGTACTGACTCCAGGGCTGGCACTGCAGCTGCTGCCTTCTCATACATCATGTGGTGAACAGTTCTTACTTCTGTTTTCTTCCCTTAGGAGACAGCAAAATTCTCTGGTCCATCCCTCCCCTTTAATTTGTGTTGCCCATTTTTAGACTGTAACCTCTCCAGGGTAGCAGCATGACTTGTTTGAGCCCTGGTGACAGTGAACTCCACCAAACAGCAGAATTCTCCAACTCAGATGTTTTTCAGCATGCTAGGTGGCCAGGGAGTGATCCCATAATGAGCAGGATGAAATTAAGACCAATACAATGAGAGCTGGCTAATGGAGGATTTGGAAGACCCTTTTTTTTCTTTTCTCCTCTAAAATCCTATTGTTTATGATAAATTACAGAGCTAATTATGTACTGGGCTCTGAGGACCAAGCAAGAGGCATTACTGGGTCTCTTGTGGTTCAGGTTGGCAGAAATGGGGAATCTCTTTGCAGCTTTTGGAGGAGGAGGGGGAGTGGGAAATGGAGACTGTAAGCTGGGTGAGCTGTGGCTGGCAGGGCAGTAACTGCACTCCCAATTATTTTGGTTTTACTTCAGTCATAAAACAATCCTGAGTTGGAGAGTGCACAGGGATCATCAAGTCCAGATCCAGGATCCATACAGCACCACTGAAAATCAAACCCTGTGTCTCTTTGAACACCAGCAGCTTGGTGCTATGACTGCTGCCCCAGAGATTCCATTTCAGTGCCTGCCCGCTTTCTGATAAACTCTTTCCTAACCTCCAGCCTGACCCTCCGCATCCAAAGCCCCATGCTTCCCTTGGGTCCTATTGCTGTCACTAGAGAGCAGAGGGAGAACCCTAGTAGTGACCAGCTGCCGGCCTGACCTTTCGAGCCAGATCCACCAGCCAGTTGTTCACCCAGCATGTTGTGTACTTGTCAAGCTGTGTGCTGGGATTTTTGTCCAGAAAGATGCTGTGGAAGACAACATTGAGAAACTTCGCTAAAATCAAATCGCATCTTCTGGCATTCCTTGGTCAGTTAGATGAGTAATCTTGTCATAAAAGGAAATTAAGTTAGTTAAGCAGTCTGTGTATGCTGCTTGAGCTTGCTGCCTTACTGAGAGTAACAGATTTCTTTCTCTCCGCAGGCATTGGTGTCACTATACGGTTACACGGACAGTCTCCTGTCAAGTGCAGAATGGGTCAGAAACGGTGATCCAGCGAGTTTATCAGAGCTGCCGGTGGCCAGGACCTTGTGCCAACTTAGTGAGGTAAAAATATTCATGTCTTCTGTTGCCTTTGTGAACTTGCCTGCTCATCTCATCAAAGCGCTGACTCCACTGTTAGGAACTGCGGAGCTGAGCGAGCTCTATGGATCAGATATTGGTCTTCTGCTTCATGGTGGTAGAACTAAGGAATACTCATTGAGTTATCTGCAGGGTAATTAGGGATGTAAGCATGTGTAGAGGGAGGCTGCGTGAAACAGTTTATGTTGTAATATTACTTTGTATGACCACATGCGAGAGTCTGCTGTTAGTCAGCCCTGCAGCTAAAGAAACACAGAATCTTTCAGACTGAGCAGTGGGGATGCTGGAATGATGGCACTAGCTGGTTAGTATTGAGACCTCATATGTGGGTCTTTAACATTGATCACATACTTGAGAGCTTTACTCAAATTTCTTGCAGTCAGCGATGAATGAAGATACTGTCCTTAATTCCCATTCAGCACCTCTTACTCCTGTGTCTCTGTATCTCTTGGAGACATTCATGAAAGCACAATGTCATCAGTTCTCCCTCAATGGAAACAAGGCTTAGAGATGGTAGCTAGTCAACTTCTGCCCAGTTTGCTGTTAGTCTGCTTCGGCCTTCCAGTCCTTTACAATCTTAGGATCCAAGACAAAACTGTGGAATAGCTGTCCCCATCTGCTGCCTCGGTGTGTGGTGCTGGGCCCTGCCTTCTCAGAAAGGCATTCTCAGAGTAGGCTAACATTACACTCATCTGGGAGTTGATGCAAAAAGGCCATTGTGCTCTAAATTTACACCTAGCTTCTATGACAGTTTCCCATGTAGACAAGGCTATAATTTAGTCATTTTATTGTTGTTTCCATTTCAGCCAGAGAGTTGGGTCCTCTTAGTCAATAAGCCAGCCAGAACATGAACTACCAGCATGCATGCATACCCAGAGATTTCCACTTTCTCAGGCTGTGTGCCTGCTGCATGCACCCATCTGCTCTCGTGTCTCTCTTCATCTGGAATTCACATTTTCCATGTGGCAGTTACCACAGTTGATTATCTGGTTTCTCCTTGGCCGTTGGTCAGTCTAAGTTTTTTCACTTGTAATGTATCTGCTTTGGTGTCTCTTTGGTCTTGTTTTGTGCAAGACTGTGGTTGAAACACTTAATATTTTACACTGTCATGGCCAAACTTCTGTTGAAGCTTTTTAATTTCCCAGACATTTTACACACATAATTGTCATTAGAAACTTGTGAGCTTTCACCTTGTCTCCTAAACTTGCCAAAAATCTTGCATATTTTTCCTTGTTAACATAACTGTAGTTTCACAAGCACCAAACAATTGATCGTGTTGCTGGTGAAAATCCTTTCTGCAGGCTCCTGTGGTTAAGTTTCTCATATACATTGGTTCTCTTGCTGCTAACACAGAGACTTCAAGAGTTGTTTGCCATTGTGACACTGTTATTCACGGAATGTTTACGGTTTCAAATGTAGTTTGGCTCACTTGCCTGATGAGTCCAATTGTTTGGAAACAATGCAGAGTGGCAGCAGACTTCCCCATTTTTCTGTGTGAAAATACCACAGAAAGAAGCTGGAGCTATTATTTAAGATCCTGGTGGTGAAAGCTCAGCTGTTGGAGGAGCTGCATGATGATGATCACCAGGAAGAAACCTCCCAGAAGAGATGGAAGGATGCTAGTGGTCTGCTCCATTTACAAGTGGGAGGACACAAGCAAAGTGAATAGTACCTTTCTAAGGGCTGAATATAAAACTTGCCCTAATTATGCAGTACATTACATAAAGTTTGAGGCAACTATCTTCTGATAACGTAATGAAAAACAACCACTGAAACTGGTGGATATTGTGGGGTGCAGCTTGTGCAAATCTTGATAACCCTGAGTCACGTTGTACGGCTGAGGTCTTACTTCCTAGGCACGTGCTGTTGCCTGTGTATCATGATGCTAGTGCCTAGGGATGTGAGGATAGCAGGCTCTCTTTAGTCTCAGAGCCAAGTTGAAATTAAAAAACAAATGAAAAACGCACCAAAAAAACCCTACACTTCTTCCCTCCTTTACTGAAGTGAATACATCTTTTTAGAAAATGCTCTTTCCTGTTTCAAGTGAAACCTATCTCCTGTTTTTGGATGGGAACTACCGAGTATAATGAGAAATTCTTGGCTGTTGCAAGGCAGTTGGGTTCCGTCTTGTATTCAGCGTCTCGCTTGGTAGAACAGTTCTCTTAACAGGAGTTAAGAGAAAAAGATATATTTGATCTCCTCCTCTCTCAGCAGAAAACTGCTTTGGAAGGGACAGGCAAGCTTATACCAGCCCAGCAGACTGTGGGACTTCCCTGGGCAGGTCTCTCAAAACGCCTATAGAAGGTGATCAATGCATTCATCAGAGCACAAGGCCCCCCTGCTTCAGTTTCTGTACTGTTTCCCTTTTACCTAAAGGATGCACCTACAGACCTTCTGGCCCTTCTCCTGTTCTTCTGTTTGTGAGATTTGTCACTTGAGCTTGAAAGGGAGATGGTCAGATTCACGTAGTCTTACACTTGACTGTAAGCAACACAAAACGTCAGTAAGCTATTGGCATTCTTTTGGCTTTTTCATATGTCTCCCAGCTGTGACTTGAAACAAACTGTTTTCATCTCCTTGTTTGCAGGGAGTCAACCATATCTGGGAGAGCTTTCATTCTGCCAGCACCCGTTATCAGGCTTCTCACTAGCAAAAGGGACGCCAGCCAAAGTAAAAAGGCATCTCTCAGCCTCGTGGTGACAGCTGAGAGGGGCTCTCTGCTAGAGAGACGCTGCTTACAGGCAGACATCACTGTGTCCAGACATGGATTTAATCTGTTTCCTGTCTCCCATTCATTCACATTATGTTTCTTTTTCCTTATTGCACAAACTGCAGCTGAGGGTATAGCATCTGACGGGGATATCTGTGAGATCCCCAGCCTTGCAGCTTTGGTTGTACGATCTCCTTGCTCTCTGCTCATTTGCTTTTGAGAAACTGGCAGCTGTACTTCTGTTGCAGGAGTGTTGTCATCTTGGCTGGGATGGGTGAGCTGCTGTGTTCTTGCCCTCCACCCCACACTGTTTAGCTTGGGTGCTGAGTAGCTTTGGAGCAGTCTTGGCTGGAGACTTTCCCTCAGCAGATCTCTGCTCTTGAACTCTCTCCCCTAGTGCTGTAGAGGCTATGGCTTGGTGCTCTTTCGATATGCCTTTGCTTTGTTATGCTACAAAGTGAATGGGCAACTTTCCAGCAGTCTGGACAAGGCTCCTAATGTACTTACAGATGTTGCATGCTATTTATCTGTCTGAAGGAAGAGATAAAGTCTTGATGTTTCAATGGCAACCCAGCCACTGAACCAGGTTTGTTGCCTCTGTGGTTGCACCCAGCTGCCAGTAAACCCAGGCATTTGAATTGTAACCCTTCCTCTGAGCAGTTGTTTTGTTGCAGCAGCTGCAGGTTGATGCATGATCCTGTCATGCTTAGGGTGCTGTTCTCCTTGAGGTTAGGCAAGGATTTGAGGCTGTGTTCAGTTGCCAGAGGCTCAGTGACTTTTTGTGACTGCTTATCTTTCAGGTGAGGTAGCATCACTTGGCCAACAGCATGGGACCAATACTTGCAATGTTTCCTTTGCCTTACTGTGGCTTAAGACTTTGAGAGCAAGACAACTTCTTGCTGTACCCTGACAGGGCAAAGTATGTCACTTTTGTTTCTGGCTATTGTGGCCAGTAAAATGTTATCTCAGGAATTGAGTGGGAGAATAGCCTGACAGACCATGCACTGCTACAGACTTTATAAGACAAACAGAGTTATAAGACAAAGTTCTGCTTCAGACTGTTTTTACTGTAAAAATCCACATATCACCTCTAGAAACACAATTCTTCAGATTGTAGTGAAATACTCTGCCTCCTTTTCTGCTTGATTCATGCTAGAAAAAAGAATGTTCCCAGTGAGGCTATGAGTTTTTTTAACTTTATTTTTTTTTTTTTTTGCCACAGCCAGTGGTCACACAGCCCTGTTTCACTTTAGCCTTTCAGCTTCTAGTCTGCGCAGCGCTGTCTGGCTTCAAAGAATATGGAGACTAACTTGGAAACCCAGAGCTGGTTTGTACAGGGCTGGCCTTACCTGACCACTGTTATTCAACAAAAGCCACTGAAATCCCAAACGTGACATTGCTCATCTGTCAATCTTAAACATCACTCACAGATGGGGAGAGGTGGAAAGGGAGAATGTTTCTGCAGTACAGCAAATTCCAGTGGGCTGTGATGCCTTGCTGACTGCCAGCATTACATCTGCCTTTAGGAAGGGTCTGGCTGGGGGTTGAGGGTGGTGGTGCTGGGGGTCAGATATGTTCTATGACAGCTCCTTGGGGAAGAGGACTCATTGGGTGTACTCACAGGGTAGTCTCTTCTATGTCAGCACTTCCCTGATTTTTTTCAAACTCCCATCTCTCCAGAACAACCAAATATTTCAAGATTTACGTATGCAACCAAACAAATTAGAAGTCTGATTTCAGAACACTCTGAGTTTCCTTAGGACAATTTACATTTATATCATGTCTGTAAATCAGGCCGTGGGCCCCAGAAGTTAGGGGTACTACCAATATCTTTCTAATCTTTTTCTAATGTGCAGAATTAGTGCTTGTTTTGACTTGTTTGGAGTATGGACAATCTGTCTATGATAAGCATGCAGGCGTGCAAGGATAGAGCCATCAGATTGATTCCTGAGCTCACTGCCTGGAAAGCAGTTTGGAAGGAAAGCTTGTGTTCCTGACTTCCCAGTTGCTTTCTTACCTAGTAATAGTGGTGGCTGCTAGCTGAGATTTCTGGGTTCCTCTTCCTGTGCTGCTTCAATCTCTGAATTTGACAGTGAGCTTCAGCAAATGTGTTGGTAAATGATATCTCTTGCAGTGGAGTTGTAGGTTGCTTCTCTGTTAAGAAGCCTTCTACTGAATGCAGCTGTGCATGCTGCAGGTGTGTGGGAAGGAAGAAGGTGCAGGTTGTGGCTCATCTAACCTCTTACTGTGGTTTTGCAGCATTTCTATGCCACTGTTTGTGGCTTGGGTGACATCCAAGGGAAAGGTCTTCCTATTCTTCTACCAGCCTCATTTCCCTGTCCGTTGTGTTTTGCACATGTTTTTGTTCTGAGGCTTATATTTAACAGATATCTTTTTCTATAGGTTTTTCACTGTGTGAGAGAAATACAAATGCAAAAGGAATGGTTATCAGAATTGGTGGTTATGCTTTGGTAGAGGAGTTTTCTTTGCTCCTTCCTGGAATACCAGTAAGAATTCTGTATAATGTACTGTGGTGAGATAAGTGATGGCAGACCTTGGTGCTGTGCTATGGCTGAGGGGAGAAATGATGCTCTGTAGAATGGAGAAGAATTAAAGCCAATTTGAGCTAGCAAGCTAGGCCCCCTTTACATACCTGATCTGCACGATGCTGAACTGAGCTGCAAGTATCAGGGAACTCAGGGTGGGTGGTAGGCTGTGACAGCTGAGCTCTCCATTTGTCGTGCCCTGGGAAGTCCTCACTTGTTTGAGAATTAAAGCTATAGCTGCTTCCCTGTCACAGAACTGCTGCCAAGATTCCAGTCTGGCTCATGCTACTCTCCTCACTTCATAATGAAGTTTGAGAGAGCTTTCACATCTTGGTGTTGGCAGAAACATGGTTTTAAAATCACGGTGTAGCTGGAGACTGGCTGGCTCGGGCCACTGGTAACAGGACTGGAGACTTTCATCTGAAGGTCAAATCCAACTGTAGTGTTAGTGACAAAGTCATGAACTTCTGACTGATGGCTGAGGGTGGTGTGTGGAAAGAAGTCTCAAGACTGATGCCAGAACTGAGAGTTGGGAGACTTGGGTTCAGTTCCTGAAGTTTGCCAGAGCTGTTTTAGGGTCTGCCTACATCACTGTGGTGCCAAGTCCTCAAGCTCACTTATGACTGCAAACTCCTGAAGGCTGTTGGATGCAGAGGTGTGAGAAGTTAGGTGGGATGAACTGGCTCTGTCCAGCCCATGTTAGACAAATGCCTGGATCATAGTTAGCATTAGCATTAACTGGTGTGCTTCTTGGCAACTCAAAGGGTGAGGACATAATGTTCCAGGGGACAGCATTGCTCTCCCATCTCTAGGCGATGCTGTGCAGGCAGCTGTGTGCTCAGGAAGAAGCTTGTGCAGATCTTCTTATCCAGTGCCTGTGGGAGAATGATATATGTCAGCTGTCAAACACAGAAACAAGCAGTCACAGCTTCCTGAGAAATTAGTTTCCCAAAACCTGCTGAGATGCTGCCTGCTTTCCAGTGCATACATAGGCAGCCTCTCCTGGATGTGTTGGTGCTGCTAATGTGAACAGCGGTAGCATACATCTCTGTTCTGTTCTGCTGTCCTTGATGTAACATGTGATAGCTGCCCTTTAAAGAGAGATTTAGGTTAGATTCATGAGATATCTGGCTCCATCTTGGCCTTGTGTCTGGGTGGGCTGGGGCAGAGCTGCAGCCTGGGACTGCTCTGTCCCCTGCAGGTTCTTGGTGCTGCAGGAGGATGTTCTTCCCTGCAGAGATCCAGCCAGGCTTGTGTCTGCCCAGACCTGACAGAGGAGCAGAAAGCTGCAATCTGTAGTGCTGTAATCCCAATGCTTCAGCCGCTCCCCATGCTTGCCAAATTCCTTTGGCTGTTAAATGAGAGTAAGAATTTTGAGGGGAGCTCACAGAGCACAGCTTCTGTATTTTCTTTCAGCTTCATGAATAGCAGCAGTGACTTGTCCGGATGTATGTGGGGAAAACTGATTTGTCAGCTTTGGAGGTCCAGTGTTTTTAAAACAAAAGCTGAGTCTTAAGCGACCGTCAGTCTTGTGTTGACTTCAGAATGGCTGGTGCCTCGCATGGGTCTGCTTGTCTGCACATAGCAGTCTGGTTTCCAATGGGGCATGACAGTTCTTGTGCTTTGAATGGAACCCAGAGGATGCTGTGTGCTGGCCACAGAGCAAAAACATGTCCAGCGGAACCTCGGCTGTGATGAGAAGTATAAAGTTCTTTCAGATGGGGGAAAACTGAGGTGCAGATTAGCTAACTGGAAAAAGGCTATATGCAGATCTCTGATGTAGTAGTGTTGTGTCATGATGATCTGGCATGCAGCTATGTGTCAGTACGCCCCTGGTCTGAGGGTGGGAGAAAGGAAGATGTTTGACAGACTTAGGCAATTTTTGTGAGAATAACACATTGGAAACTCTGAGTACTTAGAGAGGAAAGGCTAATGCCAGCCTTTGTTTAACCATCATCTCTGCTACTGAAAACAACTTGGTAGTGATGAGACTTCCATAAAGCATACTGGTATTTATTAAGGGAGAGATACGAGGAAGAGCCAAAAGAATATAAGGGCTTAAGGAGAAAAACAAGGGTTTTTGAATCGGATCCATATGGTGGTAAACACTTGCTGTGTTAATTTAAGCGTATCTTTTATCTACAGCTGGGGATGAGTGGATGACATTGCTAGGCAGGAAGATGGGTTATGGATTGTCAGAGAAGTGCATCTTACTGACTTCTTGTCTGTGTTAGTTACAGGACTCTTATAAGGCCCACATACAAAATGTCCTACCGAACTGTGACGACGCTGGAGTGGAGGTGCTGTCCTGGGTTCACAGGGAGCAACTGTGAAGAGGGTAAGTGATCCAGCAAAGCATCTTCCCTTGTGAAGAAGAAAGGGATGTGTGTGAATGAACAGGTTGGATTGGATTGGGTTTGTTAATTTGTTCTAGGCCTCTCAAACATAGGAACAGATTACCTGTTCTCTTCACTCCCAATTGTAATCCAGAAGGTGATCCTGGAAAGCAGACTGTGCTCAGTGCTTACAAAGAATCCTAAATGGGAGAAGAGAAATGAAGAAATGGGTACTTTGGTATGCTCTTTTCATAGATGGATTCATGTTTAGTGACCCCATTGTATAGGTCTTCAGAAAATGTGCTTTATCCCTGTCAGTGAGTATCTTCTCCACATTCCATTGTCATCGCAATCAATTGCTGTAGCTGAGAAAAGCTGGCAGTCTCTGAATAGCAGCCTGTAAGATTTATGCACATAAGGTCCAGGCGCAAATCCCCCTGGGATCATGTTATTTGAATTAAACTAAGCGCCTCCTATTTTCTTTCCTACCCTCCCAGAGACTTTTTGGTGCAACGTTCATGTTACTTACAACAAGACACCTGTGACTTTGTCATCTGTTCCAGTGAAAGAAAACTGGGCTCTGGAAGAAAGGAGAATCCTTTCCCTTTCTCATCATGATGCATGAAAAAGGACATGCTTTGCATTTTTCTTCTGGCTGTTTTCCATTTTACCTGTTGCTCCTGGGGCTTAGAAACAATAACTGTTTCTCCATTGAGTTTCATGTGGTGTTGGGCGTCAGCTGAATCTCTGCTGCTGTCTTACGACTGGGCTAGAAATACCTTGAGGTTTTCTGTTGGTTTGCATCACATTGATGTATCCTGCTTGTGCTGGCTGCTGAAGGATTACTGAGAGTGTCTAGCATCTCTGACTGCAGTCTGTAGCTACACCTTGTTTTCATTGCACAGCAGTATCTTGGTGCTAATCATGCAACTTAAGCAAGTCTCCAACTGGGAAGCTGTTTAATTAGTCACAAAGGTGGCTGCAGACAGTAGCTCTCTTCAGGCTGTTGAGGAAACAATAGTTTCCGAGGAGCTCAAGAGAAACCTAAAACATGGGAAAGCTATTCCGAATTCATGTGTTCAGGAGAGAGCTTTGCATTTTAACACACTGCTGAAAACAAGGTGTTGTGTGCAGCTTGGCTTTCTACCTGTCACAAGGGAGAGGGATGCTTGGGGCTGGGGCAGAACTCATTTCCCAGGTAGCTGTGGCTCAGCCTGGCAGAGGACCTGACTGGGGACCAAGCAGCTGTGTGTGCAGCCCAGTCATGCCTGTAGGTTTGGACAGGTGTGAGTGATTACAGCTCAGTTGTGCTGCTGGTGTAAAGGAGAGAATCCAGCTCCCTCCCGCAGTGCCAGATCTGTCTCAGCAGAGTTCAGTGGAAATAAAAAGCCAACATAATCTTGCTTTAGAAATTCAGCAGTGATCTCGCAGGAGCAGGTCTGTGGAATGAGGTGACAACTTTACACGATCAGCTTTCAAGGTGCAACTGTGTGGTTGAGCTTGGATGTGGGCTGTGGAGTGTGAGCAGAAAGCCAGTAGCAAGCTTTTGCTTCCATGTAAGAAATTTTCTTAAACCTTTTTTTTTTTTTTTTCTTCCCCTCTCTCTAAAACATCTGGAGCTGCTGACAGTCCCATGTTCTCGAAAGAAAAAAGACCCCTTTCTAGCAGGACGTGGTTCTGCCACTTCACTCTTCAGCAGAAGCATTGAGTAGCGTTTGAGTGGTGCGCACAGGACCTTAAGCTGTCTGGAGGGATCAGGTTTAAGATCGCGTTATTTACTACTTAAGTTAATCCTTATTGTTAGTATTGCCTGGAGTTGTAAGAAAAAAAGAGTTGGAAAAGTTTCTCTGGGGTTTTTTTGGCAGTTCTGGTTGGTACATTTGGCAACCTGATACAAAGCCTTTTGTACTCTGGAGTTTTTTTGGCCTTTCCTACTGTAAATGCTGTCCTTCTGGAAGGGCAGGGTGCTTACATCCTGTAAACAGCAGAAAAAACAGATCTAAACAAGCAACACAAAAACAGTGCCATTATGGAGCAGTGTAGAAAAAGATGAAAACATTTTGAGGTTCTAACAACAAATTTCACCTCTGTTTAGTTTCATGTGTGCAGCTGGAGCTTTTGAAGTTGTGAAGTAGTAATGGCTGAAGACAGATCAGGCCTTCATTATTGCTGACTTGTGTTCCTGCTGTGTTGCAAATGCTGCAATTCTCCGCCAGTCAGTGTTGTTCTCCATTGGCAACAGGATAGCAGCTATGATGGCATGGCACTTCCACCTCAAGATGCTTCTGTTTCTAGAGACACCAAGAAAACATTTCCTTTTTCCAGTGGTCACTGGAGTAGTGAGGTTGCATCTTCATAAGTAGGTAAGGCCAGGAGGTAATGACTGATTAAGCACAGAGTAATTTGGGGAGTTGGCTATTCACTGCTATGGTACCTCTTCACAAAGGGACAGTACAGTGTGGCTGTTCAGCCCCAAAGTATGGTAGACTGCTGATGTACTCTTGCTGTAACACACCCTCATTGAGAACCCCCTTTCCATGGTAACAGACAGCATGCCAATAGTGCAAGCTGTTAAATGCAATTTGAGCCCTACAAAATGTCTTGACCCTTTGCTAATAAGTTGAGCTTGAGAAAGTAACCACTTAACTGTCACCAGCTGACAGGCACCTATGTTAATGCTGGAGGCTGCACACTGTTTATATTTAAGGTATCTTGGGAATTCAGTCCTTGCATTGCAGCTGATAAAAATAATAATAAAAAGAGCATCATCTGGAGGAATCCCAGCTCTGAGAGTGGGTGGAGGCTTTGCTGCTCAGCAGGGATGGCTGCTTCTAGTCTGTGTCCTTTCTAACGTCAGCACTGCTCAAGCTGTCCTCATGGACCTTTGCTGCTGTCCTCTCACCCAAAGGTATGTCAACATTTGGAAGATTTCTAATTCCTTTACTGTTGGGTTTTTTTTTTTTTTTTTTTTTTTTTGAGCTGTGGCTACCTAGCTGTATAGATACATATATACAGGTGTGTATATGGATACACCTCCTGAAAATGGTGATTTTAAACCTCCTGAAAAGATCTCTTGCAACATTTTTGGACAGATAAAGAGAATTGATGCGAACAAATCTGGTGAATTTAACTGTCAGTAGGTGCTAATTTTTATTTTTCACTTCTAATTTTTTTGTGTTTGGAGCCCAAGCCTAGCACAGGAAATGAATCCACTGAGCCACCCAGTCTGCCGACTGCTGATATAAAGAACATATGGAGGGGGGCAGCGCAGAGGTGAAGTGGTTTAGCTATTGCAATCATACATCAAACTGATTGATTTGAATCCAAGATGATGCTGACACTTCAACTCAGCCATTTTCTATATGGCTGAAAGTTCAAAGGCAAGTGCAATCTCCTGGGAGAAGCAAAGTGTCCCTAGGGGCTTTGTACTGCCTTAGAGCTTCCCAGCTACACAAGGTCTTATTTTACTTCACAAATATCACAGATTTCTTTCTTGATTGTTTGCATTGCTTGAATCTGGGACAGCAGCCAGTATCCTATTTACCCCCAAAAGCAGACTGATGGGAGACAATGACTTAGGCAAGAAGCAGCTCCAGAGTAACCCTGGCACCTCTGAAAGGACCCCATTGTGGCTATAAACTTTTATTTATCTATTTGCTAAAACATCTTAAGAATACAGGGAGGATAGGGAGTTTGAGTGGCTTTGTTCAGGTAATTTCTTTAGTTTGAGAATTTATTTCTTTCCCCCTTCACTCTTCCAGTCCTTGAAATTTTATCTACTTTTACCTAAAACTGTTTGTATCTTACTCTGATACTTTTCAATCTGTTGGCTTTTCATGTGGTTATGGTTCTCAAAGCAGCATAAGAAAATGAGGTGTTTCCTCTTGGCTTGAGAGAATACCCTTCTACAAAACCCTTCTAGTTCAGAAAGTTTCTTGGGTCTCAGAACTGTGGAACAACATGGGGAACATCTTATGCTAGCAAATGCTGGATTAGAGAGACTGTGAGATGCTTTCAGAGCCCTTCAGTGGGCTTTCAGGTCTTTAATTTTGATGTTGAATGTGGTGTTGGTGGAACCTCAGTGCTCCAGGTGTTGGTTTGCTCTCTCTGGACTGTTAAACACAGATCTGTCAATCTGTGTGGAACCACAATATGGAGATTATGGAGTGACATTGACCATGATATCCCAGGAATTCTGTTCAGAAGCTGAGCACCAGAAACATAAGTACCTGTATTTGTGTATTTATAGAACACAAGAGCTGAACAGTATCTCTGTTTCTCCCCCATAGCACATACTTCCTGCTCCTCTGTGATGTGTCTCCAGGTACTTTTGTTTCTGGTGCCCCTTCAGTAGGATGCAGGAAGCCCACCAGCAGTTCCCCACGCACTCTGCACTGCATCACCTGACTGCTCTCCACTGGTGCATGCTGACCATGCAGCAGCCTCTGCCTACAGGCACAAACTTGTGTCACCCTTGATCAGACCTTCTGCAGGGCTCCTGGAGTGCAAGCTCACTGCTGGAAGAACCTGCAGCCTGATGAGAGAGCTTTCTGGCATTGGTGCTGTGGAACTACTTACACAGTTTCTAAGTGTTCGTCTTTTCTCTCGATATGCAGTCAAAAAAAAAGTACAATAAAAAAATCCCTGACAGATTTCCAAAGACTTAACACTGCATTCCAGCATCTGAATCGTTTAAGTTTTTTTGGATATGTTTAATCTGAACAGGGAGAATTTAATTCAGCACCCAGTGTCAAAATATTTGGAATGCTAAATATCTACAGATGTTTTTTTAACGTAATTAGAAAAACTGTGTGCTGTAGTGTTACATTACTGTTCCAATTACGTTAGCTCCCATCAAATTACTGTGGCGTGCAGAAAATCTTTATTTTGATAAGCTATTTGCTTGCTTTCCCAGTCATAATGGATGCTTTCTGTTAGTGCTGTGTGTTTCTTAACTCACAAATTACAAACCTGCCTATTTATAATCCATGGCTTTTCTACT